GAAAGTAGCTAACTAAAGAGCCATTTGTGGCACATAACCAGAGGTCGCTCCATACCAAAACACACTCATTTGAGCATTTCATCTATAATATACTTTCATTTATCCTTTGCCATTATGCAGCTGTGTGCTTGATCGTTTCTCATTATCCTTGACTTAAGTTATAGAGACCAAAGCTTTAACTAAGGAATTAATTAAATGTTTACAAAGATTTACAAAGCATACCTTGCCATTTGCTGGTATATCAGTAAGCACAGAAACTCACATTTCAAATGAGGTCAGAAAGAATCATGTGTTCTTCTATGTAGCTCCTTCCTTTAGCCACTAGATGGAAGTATTGAGATACTTCTAAGGTACACTTTAACCATCTCAAAGCATTGGAAAAAGACATCAGTCAAGGGATTTTTTTTCTTTTGCCCATTTTTAAGTAGATTCCTTCATATTCATTTTACTCTATTTTATTTTGTTCGTGTAGTTTTTGTTTTGTTGCATTATTATTGTTATTTATTTTTTACTAAAGTAATACAAGTATTTGTCTTGTGCTTTGCACTTTTTTTTTATTTTGTCATGTTGCAATCAAATACTGTACATCACAGATTTGATTTCAGTGGGAAAGAAATGACAGTTGATTTACATTATGTTTTTTTTTATTTGAACAGTGGGCCTTCGCTGTATGGTAGCTTACAAACTTACATTACCTTACATTTTCATACCTATTTTATTATATTATATTATATTGAAATAAATTTTTTTAACCTGATCACATCAAGGAGCTGGGAATTATTAAAAACTGCATGCAACATAGAACCATGAGGCTCCCACTAACATGCCTGAGTCTAAGACAGACAAACTTGTCTTTCTACTTCCAATGTAAGTTTAACTTGTCTCATCAGACCACAGGACACAGGGCACGAATCCAATAATCCAAAAACTTAGTCTGCCTGTCTTCAGCCAACAGGTTTCCCTGTGCTTCATCTTTAGCCCTATTTCTGGGATGACAGCTATTCAGACTGTTTTGATGTAGTGTTTGCATGTGCATTTATCTTTTGTTTTGGTTGACCTGATGGCAAGAACTGATGGAACTGAAACCTGTCGTGATAAACCACAATATGGTCTTGAAGTTTACAACCTTTTTAAGAGTGATTCATCAAATTTCACAAACCTGCTCTCCATTCAAACTAACAAATCCCATTCCCTTTTATTAAAACCCAAGACTGTTGAAAGTGAAAAAAGACATAAATGCCTCCTGGTTGAGTATTTTCCTGTGAAAAGATGCGATAAAATGTCTTTATGAAAACGCATTTTACAATTACTCACATTTGCAATTACTTTTAGGACTTTTTGAGTATGACTTTACCAGCTTTGCACTTCTGTCAGACTGGATAGTGAACAGCAATGTAAAGCAAGAAGGTATTTTGACTGGGGCTAAACCTTTGTCGCAGAATTTTGGCCGCCTCTAACCCGCTTCCCTTCAGGATTGCCCTGTACTATGTTCCATCCATCTTTCCATGAACTAACCAGCTTTTCTGCATCTGCTGGCAAGGACATCTCCAAAGCATGATGCTGCATGTTTTAACTGAGGGTATTTTTGTCGACGAGTCATTGCATTTTGAAAGGAAATGAAAAAGTCCACTTTTGGTCATTTGACCAGTGCACCCCTCTACAGGACTTATGGAAAACTACTCAAAATCCTTTGGCGTTATTTCAACAGGAACTTCTTCGTGCCACTTTTCAGTTAATGATAGGATGGTCAAGTGAAAACTAACAATTTTCTTTGGACAAATGTTCCCACCTGAGCTCAGGATCTTTGCACGTACGCCAAGGACTTCTTGGCTGCTCCTCTAATCAGCGTACATGTCCATGTTCTAGTATTTTTCCAGTTTGTAGAGTTTTTCTCCATTGCTGGATGACTGCTCAGAGCTAACTTCATGATGATTCTGTTTTTTTTCCAAAAACCTCTAGAGTAGCCGTGTTTCACTGAATTTTATTTTGAGATATCATGAGATAAGGGAAGAAAGACATGTACACTTCAGATTTTGGAAAACAAACAAGAATAGAAGATTGAAACTTTATTGTCATTACTGTCACAAGTACGAAGCAAGGAAATTAACTCTCTGCATTTAACCCATCCCCTTGGGGAGCAGGGGGCTGCCATTGTGTGGCACCCAGGGAGTGGTGTGGAGTTAAAGGTCTTGCTCAGAGTGGCAATCCATGGGAGTGGGGTTTGAACTAAGACCCTCTGGGAACAAGTGCAATGCCCTAACCACTAGGCCACCACTCCTCAGCTTTGTTTTGTTTTTTATTGCAAGCTTTAAATAAAAAGCTTATCTTCAAAGTAACTATTAGTTTATTATCATGGTGTGGTAAACAAAGAACCATTTAATGAAATACTTTCTTTTAATGTAACGCAGAGACAGAAACAGCATGTCTAACAATGACTTGGTTTTCTCTCACTGATCTGTCAGACTCCTTTGCCCAGACAGGTGAGAAAACACATCGTCCTGTCTCTCTGTCCTCACTCTTACAGAGCACTAGCAGATGTAGATAAATAAATGATTGTCCTGTAACAGTATAGTTAAGGTGCTATCAAAGGAGGGCATGACATCATGCACCTGTTCTAGGTAAAGTTGCATCACTCTTCTCCAACCTGTGTCCTTGGTCTCTTTTTCACTCACAGTCACAGTAATATGATTGAGTTTCCATTTACCTTCTCAGTTTGGTCCACTTCACCAGCACGGCTCAGACACCGACTGTTGGGTTGAGAGGCCTCACTAACAAGATGGTCGTCATGTAGGACTGAAGAGAAAGAGGAGGGAAAAGCCTTAAATTAATAAGATTCACTACATTATCATAGTTTAAGCTTAAGCCAAGGTGGCCGCAGATTTTGAATAGCACAAAAATAAAGCTGAATCGAGTCTCACTCCCTTGCACATCAGTTACTTTAACAAAATTGTTGCATGTTAGCAGGGTAGGAAATAAAACAATTGTGTTAAAGTAACTATATATGATGAATTAAATGGCAAAAGCAGTTGCTTTATTTTTTTCAGTGTAGCTATCCAGGGTGGGGGGGTCACCATAATTTCTGCAAAAGTTGTCAAATTTATGGTCTGTAAAATTAATGAACTACCTTACAGAAAAAGTATTTTTGTCCTTGTACATTCACATGTTTTATTCTGACTTGGGGACATTGGACACTTCCTCAAAAATCACAATTTTACCACAAAAATCGAATTTTGTAAGTACTTTTTAAAATTTTGGGGTGAATTTTCTCCCCAAAAAATATCTAGCTGTAAATTCTACTCATATTTATTGATTCAGAGGTACTCTTAGAAAAGCATGGGAACTGACCTGTTAAAATTGAAGTTTTGGGTTTTGCAGTGCATAACGATAGGAAGTCTACTTCATGCTGATTACAGTGGAAAAACAGAATATAAAAGTATATTATTTGCGACCTAAAATTCTGATATCCTACCCATAATTATTAACATTGCTCTATCGTGTATGGGATGTGCGGGTGTTATTTTTTTAGACCAACCAGTGTGTAAGAACTGTGCCATTTATTGACCGAGGCACACGAGAGCGCACCACTACAAAGATTGTTCTTAACTTTGATTTTGTGAATTGTACATGAAGTGCGAGCTTCTGTAATCCAAATGATTCAAACATTCAATTAGACGTACACAAATAAAAATAAAGGACAAAGCAACATTAAACAGCACTGTTGAGCACATTTGCTCGTTGCGCAGTCTCACATTCCCCTTCAGAGAATAAATATTCTTCATCATCCGCCAATGGGACAACTACGGAAGAGGATTAGGGCCACTGAAGAAAAAAAGTAAACTGATTTTTGAATTTTATTTCAGTATATTATGAGAAAAAAGTCAGAATTCTGCCTTTAATCTCAGAATTTTGACTTTTTTCCTCAGAATTCTGACTTTAATCTCAGAATTCTGACAGCTAACAAACATGTTAGCATCAAGCAGTAGCCATGTCTGTTTTAGAGACTAAACTAGCTCTCTTGTTTTAATCACCTTCTGCTCTTCCATTAATGAAATAGCATCTCCTGGGGCCCTCGGGCACATAAAAAGTCGCCTAATTCCTTCATTTTTCACCAGTGTGTTACTGGCCCTCACAAACAACTCACATCTTTGTCAGTGAAGCTGAGTGCTCCCACATCTCTTCCTTCATGGTGCCCTTCTACATTACTAAGATCCACAATTCTGAGAATAAAGTCAGAATTCTGAGAAAAAAGTCAGAATTCTGAGGAAAAAAGACAGAACTCTGAGATTAAAGTCAGAATTGTGAGGGGGGAAAAAAAATCAGAATTCTTAGATTAAAGTCAGAATTGTGAGAAAAAAGTCAGAATTGTGAGAAAAAAAGTCAGAATTCTGAGATTAAAGTCAGAACTTTGTGAAAAAAAAGTCAGAATTGTGAGAAAAAGACAGATATCTGAGATTAAAGTCAGAATTGTGACTTTTTTTCTCATATTATACTGAAATATAATTTTAAAATCTGTTAACTTTTTTTTTTTTTTTCCAGTGGCCCTAATCCCATTCAGTAAACAATAAATCATTACCAGCAATAAAACAGTTTTAAGAGCGCTATGCCACTTGTCAATGAGGACACTACAAAGCACGGGTCATGTTTTTATGGTGATATTTGATCTTTTATAAACAAGTTTTTGTGGGATCGCGCACTTTTTTTTCACATAAGTCAAGATACTTTTTAGGTCTATTAAAAATATTTATTTCCCTTGTTTTTCTCTTCCTGTTAAATGTCTAAATGAAAAGGTGATGGTAGTAGACACCGGAGGAGGACAAGGGAGAGAGAGACAGTGGCTTCATCCTGTCCTGTTTCCTGGAATTAAACTGGGTAGGATTGGATGATGGAGGGGAGGCGGAGGTAGAGAAAAAGGAAACTTTCCTCGCAGAATGGTTGTTATTTATTTATTTATTTTGCACAAAGGGCATTCCGGAAGTCCATATTCCGATCTCTGCGCTCCTGTGCGTTATAAATAGTAAAGGTTAATTAGTTAGCTGGGAAATCGGATCAGGGGCGGGCAGTCAGAATTTGATCCATAGTCAGGTAACTCAAGCAAACCCTATTGTCACTGCAATCAGACCTATATAAATCGACCTTGACGGACAGCAGTCACCACACAGCTTCACCTCTCAGCTGCATCACCGACCGACCAGGCAGAAATCCCAACGCGGTAAGTTGCAGAGGACGCACCGGAGTTCCCTTCTTTCTTTTGCAATTTCATTTTAAACTATTTTACATTTTAACGCAGATTTTAGTCTGACACAATTTACGGATTCAGATTTTTTTTTTTTTTTAGGTAAAATAAATACAAACATTACTAAAAGTTCCCTATAAAGTTTCTATCTTTTTTTTTTTTTTTTTAAGTCTCTTTCGTCGCCTTTAAAGATTTTGTTGTTGTTTTTGCATAGTAGGCTACCTGTCTAAAGTTGTAGCTAAATAATTCACAGAGGCTGTTCTTCCGACAGGAATAAAATGTCGATCTCATCTGTCCTTTCTGCTGATGCCGTTGACAATGCCATCAAGGACTGCCAAGGTATCCCTTTTCACTATTATATCTTTGTACCTAGGTTCCATGCAGCCCACTGATAATAGTTTAGAAATAAGCTCTTATTAAAAGTGCTTATAGTTGTTTGTATTTTACTATCATTTCTACTTTGGGACATTTTCCTGGTTATATGGAGATCAGGTGGGATTTTTTTTCTTCCAGCATTGTATGTGAAAAGGTAAATACAACATGCCAAACTCAGTCAGAGAACATATGGTCATATATTTGAAATATGCAGTCATATAAAACATTTTTTTGTGAGGGCATCTGTTTTATTGTGGTAATAAAGACACAACTCAGGAAATATTAGTTAAAAAATAAATAAATAAAGGAGGTACTTAAAATACACAAAGACTTAGATCACTAAACTTTAATTAAAACAGTAGCAGGGAGGAAAGTTATGCCAAAAGCATAAAGATTTCGACAAACATATTCAAGAATCCTTTAAAAACATGGGGTTGCAGGATGTAAAGTATATGGCTGAACTTTCAGTTAAACTTTTTAATTATAGATTTGCGCAAAATTACAGGCACGACATTAAAATATACAATATGAGCACAACTTTTTCTACCCTAAACTTTGTCATGTATGTAAATAGTCAGAATTTGAATGCATTCTCAATAGTTAGTCTTACGTTTGTTATATTTTTACATTTTGAACAGGAATAACCCCCCCCCCCCCCCCCCCCCCCCCAAAAAAAAAAGAGAAAGCTTTTCTATACAACTATTTTGTGATTATTTTTACAACCCAGCAGGACTTTTACTAATCTGTATGCCTTGTCTTGCAGCTCCGGACTCTTTCTCCCCAAAGAAGTTCTTCCAGTTGTGTGGCCTCGCCAAGAAGAGCCCACAGGATGTGAATAAGGTTTTTGGGATTCTGGACAATGATGCCAGTGGGTTTATTGAGGAGGAAGAGCTGAAGTGAGTCCTTTGGCAAACTGCAATTTTTGCTTTAGTAATTCTACAAAACATAAACCTTAAAGCAATCAATGGCTGGTTCAGTCATCCTTTGGAATGTTACATCAGAATTACACAATAGTTAATCAAATTCTTTAAACACTTGGAATCTTGCAACTATTCAATTGATTTTTATCTGGCAGTGAGGGATTAAGACACTATCCATATTTTGGGAAAATGTTCTCTCTTACTACATTAAATGAAACCACAATCAGAAAAACTCATTATCAAGAAGGTCCGGTGTTTAATGTGACTATGCCTATTCTTTCTTGTCGGAAAATGTTTGCTTCAGAATATCAGATGTCAGTTTTATTTCCCAAGTTTTCTTGGAGAAAGATTTCTCTGGCTTTATACATCTTCATTTGCTCCCATCAGGTTTTTCCTCCAGAGGTTCTGCCCTGGGGCTCGGGTCCTGACGGACAAGGAGACCAAAGCCTTCCTGAAAGCTGCTGATGGGGATAGCGATGGCCGAATTGGAGCCCAAGGTAAGAATAACTGAGTTTATGCAATTTCCCATTCTAGAATGCAAATAAATATCATTTTGTACTTAAAACAGACGACTACATAGCTAAATCCTTTATGTACCAGTCTCATGTAGATTTTACTTAGTCTTTAGGGAAAAAGTCAGGCTTTCGCTTCAAATGAGATCCCTGAATGGGACTTTGTTGACAAAATACAGGGTGTGTTTGCAACACCAGTTACAATGTAAATCTGTTTATCTTATAAAGTTTGTCATTTAGGGTCATAGGGGGGTGTTGCCTATTTCCAGCAGTCTTTGAACAAAAGGCAAGTTGCACCATAACAGGTTGCCAGTACATCGCTGCACAAAAAAGAAACATACAAACATTTATAAATAGAGTAACACGTTAAGAGTCATGAAACGACCTAACAGTCATGATTTTTGGTCTGGGGGGGGCATGTACAAAGACCATAGGCTGGGATTCAAACCCAGGCAACAGTGATACAAACTGCGTCACTATGCAGCCCATATGTCTCAAATATCTGATATTAGAAAGAAAGATTTGCAACAGATCTCAGAATCGTCTGATGGTTCTCAGTCATATATGTAAATAAAATGGGGCCAAAATCTAATCTCTCTAAAATCTCATTTAAGTGTTTAAACCATTTCAAACCTACAAGGAGCCGCATATAAAAGTTGACTGGGACTGAGTACAGTTTGATAGATTAGAAATGAATAGAGAAAGAATATGTTTAAATCATTGGATGATTTTGTCTTTAATACACTGTTATTTCATTATTTAAACGTTGCTGCTGTAATTTGCATTATTTTTTTTTACAAGTTTTCCTCTTGCAAATTTCATTGATAGGTACCGGAAAATAAATTATTGGGTTTATAAAATATATTTTATTTTTTCTCACAGAGTTTCAGGCTTTGGTCTTGTCCTAAACTGGCGGAAACCCCTTCATCTACATCTGACCTCTATCGACCGCCGCCAGATGACACTTAAAGGGCTCCTACTGTATTCATTTTTATTGTAGTTAAACAAAACCACTTTCCAATGTCATGATTTCACAAAAGTGTTGTCAACTAACCCTTCCTTGCCTGTCATGCATTAGCTTTTTTGTTCTTTATATCTATCAGTTCCATCATAAATATGAGTTGCTAAAACTAATAAGCACTTAACTGCTAAAATAAAAGGATAAAACCTAATTTTAATGGCTTGTTTTTCTCGTATTTATAAGAGCAGCATATTTAAATTGACTGCAAGTGTTTCAGACACAAAAAATGATAGAAAATGCTGTTATTTCCATTTTAAAAGATGCATTGTTCTTTTCCATTCTAGAAGTGTCCTTAGATAAGCAGTTCTGCTTTTCTCCCACACAGTATCAGTGTGTTTTGTACGTTAGTTGGCAGTGAATGTACAGTAAAGATATGAGTGTGTATAGATGGCAAACATTTCATAGATCTGTGTAGCTGTGGGACCAGGGGAAAAGCAGCAGGAGGGGTGACCTTGCTGACCACCTGAGTGTCACTGTGGTCAGATCGAGTAACTCCTGACCTCAGCTTTGTAAATGAACTCCAGCTGGGAAACAAAACACAGACGCACAAAAAAACCTTTGCATTTGCAAAAATCAAATATGAATTTAGATATAGACAGCCAACCATGCAAAAAGTATCCCGTCACAGATGTAAATATGCACATTCTGTGGTAAGTCAAATGGAAACGAGTAAGTGAGCAATAGCACAGTCCCATTCAGGAACATCAGTTTATTTTATCAGCTACTCTGAAGTTCCTCCTTTGACCACACGTTCAAATGATCTCTCAACTGTATTTTTACTCTCTACTTACAGGATTCAAGGAATTAAAATTAACAAGTACCTCACTCTTCTCCCACCCATCGAAATATAGAGTAGCGTTTCTTTAGAGCTCCCACTTGAATGTTGTTACAATTATCCCTAGATTGCAGGGGTGAACCTGACTATTACAGCACACACCTTATACTCACAGCTACCCCATGGGATATACCCTGGTATTAGCATGAGGTCACAGTCACTAATGCAGATACTACAGTCATATCTTTTGCAGCTCAATTTAAGGTAGTTTCAATGACAAATGTATATTGTAATAGAAATATATATTTGCAAAACAGAAGCATTACTTATTTCATTATGTTATTAAATCCAAAATATGTTTGCTTGCTTCTTTTTTTGTGACCATTTTACATTAAAATAGCTTACATCATAGCCTTAAAAATATCCAAGGGTGAAATTAAAGATAGATACATTATCTGAATGACTTGGAATCTTTAAAAGGAGTTTCCTAAAACTATCAAACTTTAAAAAGTGAACACCTTAAAAACACTTTGACACAAACAACATAGTTAGGATTTAAATGTGATGTGAAACACATTTATAAACATGACTTAAACCTTGTTCAATCACAAACAAGTTAATACCATATAATTCTGTTGTCTGAATTACAACTTTAAGCATTTATAATGTAGAATGTCTTGCAAAGATATTAAACTATTAAACATGTTGTTGCACCAGACCAGTTCTATTCAAATCAAACTTAACTGATCCAAAAGGAAAATTAAATGTTGTAGTGACTCAGAGGGCTTTTTTCCCCCAGGTGCTGTTGTGGATGTTAATAGGAAGGATCTTCTGTAGCCGTTGGTCTTTCACCCAATTTGGAGAAGCTTTTGACTGAAGACTCTACTCTGTTGTTTAACAGTCTTCTGAAGAAGATGCACATAGTTGTACATATTTATCGGAAAAACAATCTTTGTGAAATCAGAAAGCCTGTCAGAGAGAGACACTGAAGTTGGGGATATGACCTTGCAGCCATGTTTCAGTAAAACATGGCTGCAGAATCTCTCTTCTTGCTCCTGCTCTGCATCCAACTTCAGACAAGCTTCCAGTATAATAAGACTGTGTCAGCAACAGTCATTAATCTTTAAGTTTCAAAGAAACATGGATTATTATAGCCACAGAAACACTTTTTTAATGAATTTGATTATGTTTTTTTGGCTTTTGCTGTATTTTAAAAATATATTTATATATAATATCAGTGCTGCTATAATTCAGGATTATTTAGGGGTCTAAAATCACTTTGATATGAATTGGCTGGTTGCTTACAGCCATATTCCTATTAGAAGTTGAACCTCAACTAAACTTGCAACGTTTTCCAGCTTCTAATAGTTTTCTGTCTGAATAAAGAGCACTTTGACATTAAGATGCTACCTTAGGTTTCACAGTGCGGATGGAGTGTTCAGGCTGCCCCACATAGCATTTTGCATGTTGGCCAAAGGGTTTTAGTCAGAAAGCGTATTTTGATCTAATTTAAACAAGTAATCTTCTTACATATGTTTGTAGTATGCTCTATATAGCTTTTGTCAAACCTTATACTCCTGTATAGATTTTATTGGATTTCTCTTAGCAGTGTTTTATTTTCTGCAACTCCAGGCCAGACTTGTGGATTGCATGACTAAGTCATGTTGAGTTGACTAGTTACCCTAACTGAGCGGTTGATTTTTGCAGCCTAGAGTTATCGTGGGCCTCACAGCTTCAGCTCTTTGTTGGAAAGCATGCTTTTGATTTTTATTATTCTACTCACCTATTTAGATTCTTTCACAAATCTCAGTGGCATTCATAGCCATATTCAAAATGAGACTGATATAAACCCAGATTAACAGTATATACTGGGTTGTAAAGGCGATAGAATGTGTTTATTTATTAATTTTTTGTGGTATTATAACTCAATACAAAAGCAAACCAAATTATTTTCTTCCATTTTGCAAGTATGCACTCCTTTATATAGGTATATGCCATAAAATTTGAAAAGAAAGTACATTGCAGTTAGTTCAGTATAAAAGCTAAACATAGACAGGCATAGCACAGTACAGTAGTGAGATTGATGCATGTTTATCTAACAAATATATCATAAAAAGCCCTTACTGCTTACTGAGAAAGTTAATTAAATTATCAGACATCTATATCTGCCGTTATCGGCTTCTGATTCTAATCTCTGCAGTTAGGTGGAGGTAGGGGTGGATGCAGCGAGGCTGGGGAAGCCAAAAGGTAACCCAACCCAAGCAACACACAGTAGATCTGTGACCCTTGCGTTTCACGAGCTGGGAGTGATAAACAGGAAGGAAACGTGAGCCAACGAATGAACACTGACAGAGGGATATGCTGGTGTGGGAAAGCAGTGTGCAGTGATGTGGCAAGCAGCTTACCTGGACTCAAGGACAGTGAGAGGCAGAGCAGAAGACAGTATGGATTTGTTTCTGTGGAGAAGATAATTTGAGGGGAAAAAAGACAAACAGCAGCAGTTTAAGCACTGAAGAAGGTTTCGTTTTCAGTTATCGTTTGTAAAGCTCTTGATTTGCGCCACCCTGCTCACTTATGTACACTCTGATAAATGTCTTAAATAAAGCCCTTTATTTATTTTTATATATTAAAACTAAACATGAAAAAAATATTATTCAATTTTATTTAATTTATTCATTAAAAACATGAAAATAACTGTCTAATTTTTATTTGGTTTGCTTTTAAAATAACACAGCACAATTATTGGGTATCAGACCAATTGAAAGGAATGGATTTCTTTTTCTTTTAGTTTTGTTTACAGTATATTAAGTCAGAGTGTCTTTATTTCTGATAATCAATTCCCATTTACCCGTTTCTAAACTTTTCATAGCTGCCGGCAGTGTTGTGGAGGATCCACATACATTATGGTCAGTAGAACGGTAGTGGAGGTAAAAAACAAAAAAAGAACAAGACATCCAATGCCAATCTCAGTGGTCACTAAGTATCCATAACAAGTTGTTATCTCTACATCACCCCAAGGAGTGTTTCTGTGACCCAGTCCCAATACAACCCCTACTTTCAACCACTAACCTTCATCCAATCCCCACGCACCCTGGAATTGAACAACAGGGCTTCGTAATCTTCTGTAGGAATTGGGACACCCCTCCCTGCATATGAAGTATGCAGCAAGTATAAATCAGAAATATAAAATCGATTTGGAAGTCCAGTTCCAGGGTCCGGTTTCGGACCACAGAGCCCCCAGGACTTGGTTGATTATTTCTCATGATAAGGCCCCTACAATGCAGCTGCTAGAGTTTAAAACTCAAAGGGAAAGTTTGTAACTTACTGGTTTTAAATTCCCCATATTACTGAAAGTGTCAGAAATTGACTCAGTATTTCTGAATGTCGGTTTGAATGCAGAGATAAATTGGTCAAAGGGATTTTGGAATTGAAACTCACCCCCAAACCTTGCTTCAGCCCACTGCAGGGCTGTCTATAAACTGATCACAAATGAGATTTTATCCTTTTTAAACAAAAAAGACCTACGGGATTGACTGAAAAATTGTTAACATTGTAACAAGAATCCCCAACTCCTTCCAGTTTCACCTGCTCGACGTTCAGAGCCAGGGCTCAAGCGAGATTCTGCTGGATCAGACTGGCCTGATGATTCTGTCATGTCGGTTTATTGCATTTTACTCACATGCAACATCACACGGAAAACAAGTTAACTTCAACATTTAATATACAAAAGCAACAAGTATCTGGAAATGGAGAACTGCAGGATGTCAAACTTTCTGGCTGGTCCGAGGGGAGGAAGCAGTTTGATTAGGAAAGAGTTGGTTGGTGATGACTGATTGATTTGCTTACTTGACAGATTAAGGGGAGGTAGCATGGATCTGTTGGAGTTTTATTCAGCGGGATTTTAGACTTTGCAGTAAGATCGAGAGGACTGGTACTTCCAAGAGATGTGCTGGAGAGCGGGCAGGCAGGTGAATAAGATTGAGAACTGCTAAATACAGGTAAGACCTTTTCCATGAAAGTTGGAGACAAACTGAGGTTCACTGGTTGTGTGTAACAATAACAATGTTAACATTAAAAGAGATTAACAAGAAGACAACTTTCAACAAGAAGGATATTCCAGATTTAGGTCTTTGGCTGGACTAATAGGGGTAATCATCCGGCACAGTGAGATGATCCTTCACCTCCTCATATTCACGCTAGTCTTCTTGATTGAGTAATGTTCTCAGGAACACGGGTCGGCCCAGCCACCAGCTAACATCCCCTGTGACAGGAAGCTCACTCAAAACTGGAAATACATAAAACCTTAGAGACGCTAATAATAAAAGAACACAATTTTGACAAAGGATGAAATATGGAATCTTCTTAAGAGGTTTTTA